CACAAAAAAAGCTATGGCCCTTCATTAAAAGATTGGTGAATAAGTATGCATTTTTATGTTCCAAGCTAAAATAAAATGTTTAAGTATATACTTTTTAATGGTTTCCCTCTTTAATTTCTGACTAAACTAACAAGCTCAATCTCCCCCACAGATAATTTGATAGCAATATTCTTTTCCATGTAACTAACTTTGTCAATTCTTTCCAAAGCATCTAAGTTAAATTTACAGAGAAATAACTTTTCTCCATTGGGCTCTGCACAATTTTCTGCTTTCCATTTTCTCCAATAACAAATACATACCAATTAAAAAGTCAAGTAGTACTACAAAAATTATTACCAAATGTCAATAATCCCCCAGAACTGTCACATTTCTTACTCCCCAGAGCCAACAACTATTAGTTGATTTTTTTTAACTTCTTATGATGAATTAATCTTAGGCTTACAGAAAGTTTCAAGTACAGCCAGAGTCCTCATATACCCTTCACTTAGCTTTCCCTAATGTTAATATTTTATATAACCATAGTACAATTATCACAACCAGGAAATTAAAGTTGATACAATACAATTAGCTAATCTACCAAACCAAGAGTTTGACAATTTTTAGTTATCTCATGACATATTAAAGTATTTAGCTCTTTTTCACAAACACAGGCACACTTTTCATGCACCCATCTTCCCAATGCAATTATATCACTATTTTTATTAGACATCATGTAAATGTTATTAATAGGTGAGCAATATAGCACACAATACTATTTTTCCTTTCTCTCTCTGAACTGATAAGATCTTTGTGCAGCATGTGTGTATGTGTTTCCTTCATTTTCTATGTATTTATTAGCAAATTGTTCCTATTTTCCAGTTGTGCAAATATCAAATACATTAATCAAATGCACTAGGCATTTGAGTTCATCATCTTGAACAAGGCTCTGCTGTTCTGTCCCTTTATAATGTCTTTTCAATAACAGAAGTTTTTACTTTTTATATAATCAAATTAATCAGTTTTTTCCTTTATGGTCTATCCTTATTGGGTCTTGTTTAAGAAAGCCTTTACTAATACAGTCATTGAGATCGTATCTTATATTTTCTTCTAAATCTTCATAGTTTTGCATTTTACATCTAAGTCCTTAAACCATCTGAAATTAATTTGTGTGTGTAGTGTGAGGATCCACTACTTTATTTGCACGTGGATAATAAATTGTCCTACCATCAATAGTCTACAATGCTAGCCTTGTCATAAATCAGGTTTCCATATATATATAAGTCTGTTTCTGGACTATCTATTCGATTCTACTAGTTTATCTGTCTATCCTTGAGCCTATACCAAACAGGGGGCATATACTGCAGTTTTATAATAAGTCCCCGTATCTGGCAGCGCCAAGTCCCCTGTGTTTTCTCTCTCTTCAAGAGTGTCTTACCTATTCACAGGCCCTTTTGCTCACCTTTATAATTTGTATATTCAGCTTGGTCATCAATTTCGACAAGTGGACTTCTGACTGGATTTGCAAGACTATTAGGAGGAACTGAGATTTTTATAAAATTTAGTCTTCCTATCCATGAACATCATTTGTTTTCCAATTATTGACATTTTGAAAATCTTTCACTAAAATTTTACAATTCTTTTCCTCTTGAAAATTGTACATTTCCTTTGTTAGGTTTGTTCCCAGGTACCCTGTATTTTTGAAGCTATTTGTATCTTTTTTTATGATCTATATGCTGTTTATTATAAAATTAACATAAACATCAATCTATATTAAAATCTATAGTTGATATAAAATGTGATATCATCCAGTATACATTCACGAAGGATTTGGCAAAAAAATTATCAATGTTGATAAATAATAATAATAGCAACAATCGAGTCTGTCCTGATACATTCTAAATTCTTCTTCCACTTTTTATTTTTT